CTCTCTCTCTCTCTCTGTCTCGGTGCCCTGGCCATGTTGGCCAAGGCTGCAGAGAGCAGTGCTCTGCGCATTTTGTTGGACGGGTTTACTCTGATTTCCCTGAAAACGGCATGTATTCACAAATTTTGTGTTTGGACAGTTTTGGACAATTTTGTCTCGGGGGATATCTCAGTTGAGCCCAACGGGACTTTTTGTTTGCACGGGGGGCCCGCATGTACTTTATCTAGGTCGCCGCCTTGTATTTGAAGACCCACCGGCTGGCGGGCCTCGACTTTTCACTTTTTTGGCCCATTTTGGCTAGTTGGTTTTTTGTCATATCGGATTCGGGATGACCTGCTCGTAACCCGGGGAGTTTTTTCCAATTTTAACCTCTCCATTTCGGGCTTACACTTAGGTGGGACCGCAGGGGTTCGGTTTTGGAGCCTCTCGAGTTTGGAGTTACGAGGCATGTATGTGCATTTTTAGGCGGGCTATTGGAGGACTGGAGGTTCTGCTCTTTGGGCCTGTATTCGAGCCCGGTACGTCCGTATAGGTGTAGTCATGACTCAGGGAGTCTGGTGGTCACACGACCCTACCACGATGAACTATGCACGAGTTTCGATATTACTCGGAACTTTTAAATAGGGGAGACACGGCTATAGCCTTCGGTGTGGGCACACGAACGCAAGTTCACCCTCCTGAGGAGTTCTGCTGGTGGGCAGACGAAACCGGTCGAGGGGATCCACCGTGGCTCGTTTTGGCGGTCATGTCTTTTGGACCTATCTGATCGGAAGATTTGTACTTGTGCTTTGAAGTTCTGGCTATGGTGTATGAAATCTTTCTTGATTCGGGTTGTGTCTGTAAGCTGCTGCCCAGGCTGTTTTGTCGCGGTCTGCCTCACTCTTTGGCGCATAGTAACCGGTAGCTTGTCACTGGGCGGTGGCTATGTCGACATCGGATTGGATCAATTGACGGGTTTTCTGGTTTTCCTGGTGTTCCTTCTTTTCCTGCTTTTCCTCCTTTTACTGCCTTTCCTGCTTTTCCTGCTTTCCTGCTTTTCCTGCATTTTCCTGCCTTTTCTCCTGTTTACCTGCCTTTTCCTACCTTTCCTGCTATTCTCCACTACAGTAAGGGTTTTGTGGTAGAGGAAATATTCTCTTATTTGTTATATTCTCTCATTTCATAGATAGGTAAGAAATGTGTTTTTTCGTTCTGAGGTTTGGCTGGATCTGCGTTGGACTAAGTATGATCTTGGCTGGAGTTGGACTCATTATAGTCGGTTCTATCCGCTAAATTTTTCCGCTACGGTGCAGGGAAGGTGCTCCTGGTGCAGGGGTAGTGTCTTAGGACGTGGCTACTTCCTTTTCCGGAGACGTATGGTTAATCTGATTTCTAGATACGTTAGCAAACTATTAAACCGATTCTGCATGTAGCCCAGTTTATAGAGAACCATAATTTGAGAGCTGGTGTGTATGGGAAGATTCTTGTTGTTTTGGACAAGATTCGTTGAATCCTAGGTAGGCTGCGCTCCAAACGACAAGTGACTTACCTGGATATCATTGATATCTGGAGAAATTAAACGTATTTTCGGTGACACTCTTGCCAGCTAAGGTGATAATCAGTTCGGTAGCTACTTGTGACTGGCTGACGGAGCTCCTCTGGTGTCCCGTCAACAATAGATATACTAGCAGTCTAGGAGTCATCATCCGTGATCCTATTGACAGCATGTTTCTCACGAATGGCCCTCGTGGGCCGGGTGGTTTGAATGCCGACAATAGGAATCATGCGTATAACGACAATGTGGGTGGTCAACCAGTTCAAGGAAGGAGTATTAGCGGACCATATGGAGGATACGGCGCTGGTGGTGGTGGTCCGACTAACGGCTGTTATAACTGTGGCAAGATGGGGCACTTCGCTCGAGACTGTTGGGAGCGTTTCGCCCCTTCGAACGCTGTCGATCGGGAGTTGGAGGAGATAAGAGAACAGCACCTGCTGGCTCGTAGGGAAAAACTGGAACAGGAGGAGAAGCGGAAGGCAGAAGAAGCTAGGAAGGCTAAGGAAGAAGAGGATGCGAGACGGGACCGAGATTTCGCGCGGAAGGCGGAGGAGTTTAAACTCCAAATCAGAGCCGAGCTCCATGAGGAATGGCGTAAGAAGAACCTGGAGGCTGAACTGGCTACCCGGGATGCTACTAAGAGCTCGAGACTCCCGGCGAAGAGAGTCGGTAAGGCTAGGAACACCAGGCGCACGAAACACAAATTGAGGAAGTACATCACGGAGTCTTCCTCAGACACAGAATTCCCAGTCTGAATCTCTTGGGTCCACGGCGAAATCTGAGTTGACCGGAAGACGAGTGAAAGATAGGAAGAATAAGGGCAAGCGTCGGGTGAAGGCACGGGCGGCGAGGGAAAAAACGAGGAGGAAGGCTGCTTCACCTCTAAGGGAGACTCCGAGAGTTTTCGAGAAAGGCGATTGTTCGAGGCGGGTGCAGTCGACCGTGAAGGAGAAAACCGATGCAGCGGAATCACCGAAACGAGAACACGACCCGAAGACGCCGCTTACCGGAGGTTACAAAGGTTTATCTGACGAATGCTCCCAGAAAGGGATCATCGTGTACTCTATTTCAGCTCACAAGATCTATTCAGCAAAGAAAGTCACGGATCTGAGGAAGATTTGCAAGAGGAAGGGCATTAGGTACACCAAGAAGCCCGATGTAGTCGAGCTCTTGGCTAGACAGCAAGTGCAGCTTGCCTACGACGGTTTTGAAGGTTTTGAGGGTGTCAAGGCTGCTGAATCCAAGGAGGATACGAAGGACGCCGCGACTCCCATACGATGTACGGATAAAGGGAAGCAAGTAGAGAAGACGTCGCTGGTAAGGAGGGCACTCGTTACTTTGAAGTCGACTGCTGGGCAACTGGAAGAGGAGTCCGATTGACGGTGGATCTTTCCCACAGCCAGTATTCTGTGGACAACGCTCACAAAGTGGCTGAATCACTGAATACGGTTGTGGGAGACGAAGTTCAATGGTGAGGTGGTTAGGAAGGTCGAAAGCATCATTACGGTGATGACAGTGATACTGATTTTGTGCGGACAGATTCCTTGGATAGAAAAGTTAATTGACCGATCAGATGGCCTGACACGGATGCTTGATCTAGACAAACCAGGCGTTTATGCTATTGTCTGCCCCTGGACCAGGAAGTTCTATGTGGGCTGTACAGTGCGTACCTTGATCCAGCGGTGGAGGGAACACTACGGAAATGCGAGGAACTCCGTACTAGGTCTCACACCACATCTCTACCGATGGATGCGGTCCTTTGGTCCAGATAAGTATCTTATCCTTCCTATTAGGTATGCTAACAGTAATGACGATTAAGCATTCGAACGCTTTCTGATCTCGGATTTCTCTCCGTGTTTAAACACTAGAGATCTAGCGAGAAAGGGTGAGAAGAGAGTGAGACCGAACGGTAGGAAAGGCAAGCGGGAGAGGAAAGGAAGGGCTTTAAGACCGGTTCAACCACGAATTGTTTATTTCGCTTACGAGGGTGAGCATTTTATGTCCTTTTTTAATTGGGTCGACCGTAGACAGGCTCCCTATCAGCAGCGTTCTGCTATTAGAAAGGTAATTGGGATCACATCATTAGGCGGAACGATTTGGATTGACGGATGGAGGAAGATTAGAAGGCTGTACGATTCTTCAAAGATCAAGTTGGCAGGGAAGACCTTGCTGCTACGACAGTCGAAGCAATTAATTCAACAAGGAGCAGTGTTCGATGTTCTGAAGATTATCCGCACGAAGACCACTACGGAGGTTAACAAGCAGTTACTTCAAGATGTGCTACACAGACCCCGACCACTGTCATATTTTAAGGATATGACTACCAACAAGCTCGTGGGCCTGTATAGAGCAGTTGGTCTCTTTGCCGACAGTAAGACCAGGCTGTCGCTACGCCTGAAGATTGATAGAGCGATCATTGGGAAAGTCGGTATCAGTATACGTAAGCGGGTTAACGTGATGGTACCGTACGACACAAGGCTCAGTAAGGTATGCCGGCGGAGAGCAACTGAGTATGCGATCACGCAGAAGGTCTCAGATGGTCCGCTGGCGAGTTTTATCAATAGCAGAGTGCGGATTATTTGGAAGAAGAACAAGACGGTGGGAGACCTGATCCTTAACCAGAAGAACTTCGCCAGTCAGGAAGACAGGGCGTGTCATTGTTCTTAAACCAGTCTTCCGAACGTAGACGGCCATGTTCTCACCCGCTTCGGCCATCTAGAGATGAATCTCGTTCCGCCGTTTCTCCGAAATTCAAAGAATGTCACTCGACCGGCGGTTGCTGAGGATTCGTGAGCTTTGCTGCTCAGCATCAACATGGCCACTAAGCATCTGAAGGGTAAGCTGCAGGACCTTACCCTCCCTCTGGGGACTTTCAAGGAGGAACGACACTCACCTATGGCGTGGACAAACAAGGATGTGATGAGATGGAGTAAGTTTTTTCATGATCTGGTTCTGATTCCTATTGATAGAAACCAGGGGGACACAACTTTGATCTGCCCTGTTGTCTATCGTCATGTTTTCGGGAATATGTTCATGTGGAATACTAACTATGAAGATTTTGGCGCCGTCGAATTTGAAGCGAAGGTCATGGCATTATGCCGTGAGCATTTCGTAGAGTCCGGGATGCGATGCCTCGGACCATGGAAGCCGGATGGACGACAGGGCACGACTTACGTCATACCGAAACATAAGGACCTTGGTAGATGGAGGCCCATTGCCCCGGCACCTGTGGATCCGGTCGCCGTGGCACAAAGGAGGGTTGCGACAGCACTACACCACCTTTTGATGAGGGTACCATCTCGGAACTCTTTCTTCCTCAACTCGATTGCGGGATTGGAAGATTATCTGCAGGCAACCGATCATAGGCTACAGGATTTGGGCTGCATGCACGCAGGCGATCGGGAGATGCTATGACATCAAAGAGATGTTTTTGTGCATCCCCCAAAAGACCGTACTCGATGCAGTACACCAGCTACTAAGGCGATTCGAGGATGGTGATTGGAAGCAGATCAAGGTTTCCTTCCGAGGCAAGTGCTGTGTTTTGAGCAAATCTCTCAGGAGCATGGACGGGTATGCTAGGATCGAACTGAAGGACATCCTCAAGGCGGTGGAGTATGATCTCGGACACTCCTTTATCAGATGCGGCACCAAGGTGATGCGCCACATTTTCGGGATAGCAATGGGCAAGTCGACGAGCCCGGTACTAGCTTGTATTACATGCGCCATGGCAGAAGAGAGGTTCCTCGCTGAACTTGGGGCAGACCGGGCACTCATTGGTGGTTGGAGAATAATGGACGACATCTCCCTGATTGTGGGGATTAGGGATGTTAAGACGGATGTTGTTTTCACTCGACGGTTTTTCGGACATTTCGAAAAAAGCTACGATCCCAACCTGGAGATCGTGAGGAAGGATGACTGAGGACTGACGTGGGACTTCATCGGAGGTACTATGTTCATTTGTAGCGATCCGTTGAGGCTTCATTTTGTTCCTAAATCTAAGAACTTGGACGCTCTGTGTGAAAATGGGAGGATCCTCTTCCAAACAATGCAGGATTTCACGTCCTTTTCTGATAAGAGGACCAAGAAGGCGGTTTTAACAGCTTCCCTACGTTGACTTTAGGACTATTCCACCAGTAAAACACTGGTGCTCGGAGCAATAGCTTTCACGATTTGTGAAGCTAACCTTCGGGGGGTACCCCCGGAGGTCTCTCTAGGTGCCCTGGCCATGTTGGCCAAGGCTGCAGAGAGCAGTGCTCTGCGCATTTTGTTGGACGGGTTTACTCTGATTTCCCTGAAAATGGCGTGTATTCATAAATTTTGAGTTTGGACAGTTTTGGACAATTTTGTCTCGGGGGATATCTCACTCGAGCCCAGCGGAACTTTTCGTTTGCACGGGGGGCCCACATGTACTTTATCTACGTCGCCACCTTGTCTTAGAAGCCCCGCCGGCTGGCGGGCCTCGACTTTTCACTTTTTTGGCCCATTTTGGCTTAGTTGGCTTTTTGTCATATCGGCTTCGGGATGACTTGCTCGTAACCCGGGGAGTTTTTTCCAATTTTAACCTCTCCATTTCGGGCTTAGACTAAGGTGGGACCGCATGGGTTCAATTTTGGAGCCTCTCGATTTCGGAGTAATGATGCATGTATGTGTATTTTTAGGCCGGCTATTTGAGGACTGTAGGTTCTGCTCTGTGGGCCAGTATTCGAGCCCGGTACGTCCGTATAGGTGTAGTCATGACTTAAGAAGTCTGGTGGTCTCACGACCCTACCACGATGAACTATGCACGAGTTCCGATGTTACTCGGAACGTTTAAATAGGGGTGGCACGACTATAGCCTTCTCTTTGGAAAGATGAACGCAAGTTCACCCTCCTGAGGAGTTCTGCTGGTGGGCAGACGAAACCGGTCGAGGGGATCCACTGTTGCTCGTTTTGGCTGTCATGTGTTTTGGACCTATCTGATCGGAAGATTTGTACTTGTGCTTTGAAGTTCTTGCTATGGTGTATGAAATCTTTCTTGATTCGGGTTTGCTGCCCAGACTGTTTTGCCGCGGTCTGCCTCACTCTCTCTCCCTCTCTCTCTCTCTCTCTCTCTCTCTCTCTCTCTCTCTCTCTCTCTCTCTCTCTCTCTCTCTCTCTCTCTCTC